GACCGCCTCCCATATCTTTATAAGTTTATTTAGGATTATTTTAGTATTGTAATTTAGGATTAGCTTAGGGTTATTTTAGGATTAGAAACCATGTATCTGTTTTTTTTGTCATCCCAACCAATTACTTCAGTTTTAAACATTAAAATTAAATTAGAAAAGAAAATTCTTTTCTTTTTTTCACTTGACTATTTTTTTAAATAATAAATATTCAAAAATTTATTTTTAATTAAAAAATAATAAACCTAATAAAAGAAGGTTTTATTGTTCTATATTTCCTTCTAATTTTACAAGAACGAGTCATAACTTGTAAAAATATCACAAAAGATTATCAAGTTTAAACTACAGTCAGACCTCTCTAAATGCATCTTCAGGACTAAGCTTAAGAATGTATTTAAAGAGGATATACATTAAGAGAAATCATGTATTTTAACAAATTTTGTAATATAATAATAATAAATTTATTTGTTTATATTATATCTAATACTGGATTTACAATTAATTCTTCTATTTGTCTAATATTTAATAAAAAATGTGTATTATATCATTAATGTTGCTATTTATTATTAAATAAATTGATTGTTCCTAAATTTTTTATCATATATAATCACATAATATGCATTTAGAAAATAAATTTGTAATATAAAAGGACTGGAAAACTTCTTACATATGTAGGTATATTTAGCATTTAAGTTCTAAGTTTAAATTTAGACCAAATTATGTATATAAAGAAAATGTACATGTATAAAAAATGTATTTAAAGAGGATTTACTGTATATATTTTCTTTTTATTTTAAAAATACTAACAGTTTTTTGATGTCTTTAAATTTAATAGTTATTTTTACATTTTTACTAATTTAAAAAAATTATAAGTTTACATTTCTAAATCTAAAAAAAATGTTAAGTTATAATTCTTTTAATATTATTATTAAAAAATATTTTTGAATACAAAGCTGATATATAATTCAATAAACACATTATTCATATTACTGATATTTCTTTATAAATAAAAGCTATACTATAAAATAAATTTTTACTAAATATTTAGTTTTTGAATGACTGTAAGAAAAATATGATAATATGAGAACTTTGTAGTAGAAAGAAAGAAAACTCCAATAAAATTTTTTTTTTGAATTAACGTTAAATTTAAACTTATTTAACTAAAATAATCATAATTAGCTTAAAAGTAAAATTTTTAATTTTTTTAGAGTTTCTTTCTTTCTACTACAATACCTTTATTTACATCACTTATAAAACTTTCAAATATATTAAATTTTTCTACTAAATTAAAGTTAATTTATTTAAAATAAATTTATTTATATCTACTTATACAGTTTGTTTTTTAAAAAAAATTAAATATAAAAAAAATTATTAATTATATCAAACTTATTAAAAATCTTTGCAAAAAATTTTTCAATATATTATTTTTGTAACTGAATTACATTTTTTATTATAATAATTACAAAATTTATTTATTTGTTATTTTGTATTTTTAATCAAGTTTATCTAATATTATTTTATTTTTTGTAATAATCAATTAATTTGATATTTTTCTGATATTAATATTATTATAAATATGATAATTCTAATTATCTTATAAATAAAATATCAATTTTTACAAAAATTTTACTAAATATAAAAATGATAAAAAATAATACTAACCTAAGTTATTATTACTTAATAAATTTTTATACAGATTTTATAGCATATTTAAATCAATATATTTTTTAAAAATTTATTAGAATTAATAATAATAATTACTTTTTAAGTTATTTACCAAATCTTAATCAAAAATTGTTAAAAATAATAATATTATTATTTATTATCTTTCACTTTCATAAAAGAGCAAAATATTAATAATTAATAATTTAATTCAAATGTTATTAACAGAAATTTTAAATATTCTTTATAATTATGATATTAGAATCACTAAATTGAAAGCTATCAAAAATTTTTTTACATTAATAATTTTAGTTTACTCTTTTCACTTCTTTCAAATAAAGAAAATATTTTGATTATGATAATTAAACAAATTGTTTCTAGATATCTAATAAAAGAATCTGTATTTTTAATTTTTTAATGATAATTATTCTTTTATTTTAATTTTAATTTCAATCAGATTTGCATATTATAAAGCTTAAATAAGCTGTTATTATTGTTAAATAAAAAAGCAAATAAATTTAATATTTAAATAAATTAAAAAGTTCTTATTTGATATTAATAAATCATAATAATTTAAATTTAATACATCTTTTTTTATATATAATTTTTAATGATTAATATAAATTATAATAATTAATTTTTGTTTGATATATATTAATTATCATAAAGATAACCAACCATTTACTTGTTTTCTATATTACAAAATAAAAAAATTTCAGTTTTATGAAAACTGAAAAATCAGAAATTATGCCTGGATACAAATTTAAATCTAATGTATATCTTTTATTAATAATGGTTTATATTTTAATAATATAAATACTTATGTTCAAAAATAATTATATTACAATAATAAAACAAATTTTATCAATCAGATCAACTTTTATGCTTATTATTTTTCTATTTACAGGTTGTACATTTTATATATACTCTAAATGACATATAATTGGATCAAAATCTAGTAATGTCTCCAATATTAGAAAATGTAATAAAACTTTCTTGGTTTCGTATTTTTATCAATTTTTTATTTAATAATTTTATTAATAATGAACTTTGTATACCATATAAACCAGTATTTGACCATTAGTTAACTGAAATCGGACATAAGGGACTTATCACATTATCACATGACAGATATTACAGATATTATGATGTCCTAAAAAAATATCAATATCAAACAAATGAACGCGAACATTTTTATTTGAAAATGCTCACTTTGCTAACAAAAATGTTCTTTTAAAGATAAACTGATAATACATGGAAGAAACAATACCAAAACAAATTATTGAACGATTATTTTGAAATAATGTAGAAATTTGATCTTGTCATCATCCATTTTAAGAAATGTTATATAATTAAAATTCTTAGATTTTTCATTCTTATCACAAATAATCAACTCCAATAATAATAAGCAAATTTTACTAAACTTTTAAAAGGGTTTTCAACTAATCAATAGAAAGAAGTATGTCACCAACAAAAAAAATATAAAGATCGCGTGCCATATAGCATCACAATCTGAATTAGAAATGCTTCAAAACCAATTTCCTTATTAATGAAGAAATTAAACAAATATTAGTGATTCTAATAAACAATTGGGACGAATATAAAGAAAATTCAAGATAATTGGAATCATCACAAACCAAAAATTAGAGACATTAAAATATCTTAAATTTTGTAGATTTATATTATTAATATATTAATGGTCTATTTCATAAAAAATATATATATATATATATTAGTACATATTGATATCATAAATAAAGGAATATTCAGATATATAAGTGAGACTCTCTAAATACGCACGCATCAGCCCCAAGTATATAAAGATCATACAAAATTTCTCTCTTTAAATGACACCCTCTTTAAATACACATTTTTCCAAATTTTCACTATGGTCCCAAGGGGGGGTGCATTTAGAGAGGCCTCACTGTAATAACAAAGAGCCTTCCATTAAACTTTTATTAATAAATTTGTTTTAAATAATTTTTGAATTTTACTGAATCTTATCTAAATACCCACCTTTGTAACCTAAAAAATTTTCTTCCTGGTAAATTTGCTATATTTTATTGTTGTCAAAATTCCGTTTGTCCATACTTTTAAAGGATCTTAAAATTCCAGGACAAAGTTCGTAAAAACACGAAATGCTATCAAAGCATTTGATATTCCATTAAATTACTGAATTTAGATGCTGGCACGCTCTTAATGTGTGACAGGTTATACCGAATTATCAATGACAAATTACTGTAATAAAAACAAACTTCTCTTAGGTGTTAGGTGAATTCCCGCCTTCTTTTTATAGCAGTGATTGGCATAACGGTCATAAATTCCGATCACAAACTTAAAAGCTTCATTCATTCATTTATTTATTATTTGGAAATTTTACAACAAAAGATTGTCTACAAGGAGAAAAGCGAATGTTGCTCATGCTGGTGCGGAAGGATCACCCTATAAATTAAGGTTATTTTAAAACTTCCGGTGGCTTGGCTTAGAAATTTGATTTATTTACATTTCTTTTTTTTCCAAATTAAAATATCAAAATGCAAAAAAAAAGTATTAATGGATTAAAGAAAATATTACTAAAAAACACATGAAACATTACGGATATAACCATTAATCAACGTTTCATGCTAATTGAAACTTCAAAACAACATTTCGCGTTAAATCTTATCAAAGTCATCGATCGTTAAAGAACTTGTTCGCGAGATGATTACAAAATATAATATGTATCATTTGTCTATACATGTATCTTTTATATATCAGGTTAAGTTTACAATTTGACTTCAAATCAAAGTAAAGTTCTTATATTTTTTAATTTATTGTTATCTTTTTTTTTTAAAAAAAAATAAAACTAGGAAATAGTATTACAGTAATTTAATAATGCATATGCATCTAGAGATTATTTGAAGAAAATTTTGATACGACCTGTTTTGGGGAGATAAAATAATTTGCCATTTCAGTTGGCTTCTCGAAAACATTATATGGTAAATTTCATAGATCTATATATTTTATGCTGATGTTTTACCCATTTAATTGATTCATTAGGAGGTACTAACTAAGCAACAGTCAAATGTTTTGGTATATTCCTTATTTATATCGATAGAAAAAAGGCAAAGTCAGCGAAGAAAATCCAGCATGGTCGTCGGGGTTAAACTTATTTGAGAAATGGCAATAGTCTATCTAGCCCTATGCTCGATCTTAACTTTCGATGGGATTTTAATTTATTATTGTTTCGACAGTTCTGTCGAAATTTTGTCCATTCCAATTGTTCCACCTTTATTTAATGTAAAATAACCATCGTCCCAACTAACCCAAATACCTATCCCTAATCCTATTTTTTATCAATTATGATATACGACCTCAACATCAAGTCTTCAATAAGCATTTATCGAAGTTCTTTTGATGGAAGGTACTGGTAGAAACAATTCAAAAAATAATAGTATATTAAAGCATTTGAATTATTTTAAAAAATCACAGGAGGAAACAATTCAGAATAGGAAATTTTGAAATTGTTCCTTTGTGTAATGTCAGAGCAAACTTGTATTTGATTACAAGTTGGATAGATGTTGGATAACGCGTCGCCACCTTGGTTAATAAGCTTTTGAATTATTCAAAAGAATCATTAGTCGGAGGTATTAAATTGGAACGGAAACAAAAGAGCGTTTGAATTATATTGAATTATATGAAAAGTTTTCATATTGTTATTAAATCTTTATGATCTTTATGAAATTCAAATTTCAGTAAAATAATAAAAATCCTTTATTAAATAAACACATACATTATTACATTCTTTAAAATATATTTTCGAACACGAATAATGAAAGAGTTAAAATAATAATATTTACATTATATTTCTATATTAAGGGGTAATTTCGGCCAATTTAGTATAGTATTGATGCAGGCGGTTTAAGGATTTATCTTATCCCGTCACTCGCACTTTTAGTTCTTGATCTATTCGTTTGGAAAAATTTCGAGTTGATGAATGGGGTGTTAACGTTGCCTTGATAATAAGTTAAAAGTTCTTGATTTTTTTTTTTTTGAGATCTAAACGGTACTATGAAGGTTGTGATTCTAAACTTTTTTGAGCCTCCGAAGAACCTTTCAATTTTAAATTTTTTTTTAATTTTTTTTGGTTACAAGCAGAACCTCAAAACATAATTCCAAAATATTATTTACTTCCAAGTATAAATAATTTATTTATTATGAATTACAATTGTATATTTCCCGAAGAAACGGTTACAACGATCAAATTAAATTCGATATCGTGATATTATTTCTTCAAATGTAGGAAAAGACCATCTTACTTTCAAAGATGGATATTTATCGAGATCGAGGTGAATTTTACCGTAAGGTATGAAGATGGAAATGGAACCATGGAAATGGAACGAACTTATTCTTAAAAATTAAATCTTTTGATGGAATTAAAATTTAATCTCAACACAGGAACATTTTTAAATAAGTAAGGGCTAACAGAGAGGAAATGAAACAAATTCATGCCGTTTCCCCTCCGAGGTTCTCCTCCTTTTAACGTTAATATCAAATAATATATCGAAGTAAAAGAAAATATGGTTTATATCTTGTAATAATTAAGGAAATGTTTTTTTTTTAATTTTTTAGTACAATGATGAAAAAAGAGAAATTCCAAAGATTTTTATAACATAAAAAGGTCTCACTTTACAATAATAATTCTATTAAATTCGTGGACTTTTACTGCATAAGAAAGAGTTTAGCCGTAATTCCGGTTTGTAAGCCTTTTTTTTAAATTATTATGATATCATACTTTACATACAATACATTCATTATCTCATGAAATCTTTTCGTTTTTATCAAATCCTATCAATCGTAATCAACAGTTGGCAAAATGTTTTCTTCTTACGGATAGGTGTATTAATAGAATTACGGCTAAAATTATGCTAACGACAGGTTTTATTCTTGATTCTAAATCACTCTCTTTTTGGTATGATTTGATCTGTAACATTGTTCATACCCATACTTTTTAATCAAGAACAAGATTATATTTACATAAAAACTTTTTTAAACAGGTTTCATAAGATCGGATGGGGTACCTAATATTTTTGCATAACGAAGACAATATCATTGATTTTTTTTTATTTTGACAAAGCATATGTGATTCCTGCCTCAGCCTTCGATAAAATAAGATAATGCCCCAGGCATAAAAGTAATAAAATCATGTGTTGATTATGTAAAAAAAAAAAAACAATGTTCAATCTTGGTAATAATCTTCCATATAGCACATCATACCCATTATCGGAAAATTGCCGAATGTTTTAATCCATTTAGCGGAAAAAATCTCGAGAATTGTTTTTTTAATAATTTTTTTATTTTGAAAATCTTAATACAAAAAAATTTATATAATAAAGGCCAAAAGTTAAATATTTTGAATTTAAAAAATAATATTGATATTACTAGATAGTTTTAATAATTATAATATAAAGAAAAATTATATACATTTAATATAAAAAAATAACTCATTTAAAGTAATAAAAATTAAAATTTATTAGTTAAAATTACTTTAGTTAAATTCATATAAATAAGAATAGATTTGTTTAAATATAAAATCAAAATAAAATTATATAATATGAGTAATATTATTAAAAAAATATTTCTAGTAGCTTTTAAAAGTAATAAAATACCAAATTTTTAATAATTTATTAACTACTAGAAAACAATTACTATAAGATTATATAATTCAATAATAATATCAATTTTTGTGTTTTTAATGATTATGTATATCAAATTTTTTTACTTAATAAATTCAAAATAGAGAAATTTTTTTTAAGCAACTTAACGTTAATTATTATAAAACTAATATAATAATCTATTTTTTTTTAATATTAATTTTAATTAATTATAAAATATTAAAAGTTAAAATTTATATTAAAAAATTTTTTATATATAATATATAAATATGATTTGTTTTATAATTAGCAAACTATTATAAAATAAAATAAAATTTTATTTTAATTATTATTTCATATCTAATAAATAAATAAATAATTTTTTTATTACTTAATATTTTATAATTTGTATTAATTAATTTTATATAAAAATTTGCTTAATTAAATATAATATAATTTTATTAGTTAATAAAATTAAATATAAATTAATATTAATTTTTTTATTACTTAATATTTTATAATTGCCGATTTCTATTTATACACATAGTGTGTGAATATATATCATATGATTTAATAAATTTATATCATATGACTTTAAACTGCAATCCATTTTATTATATAAAAATCAATTAATTAATCATATATAATAAATACGCCTAAATAAATGAATGCTAAATATTCTGATACATCTTCGTGTAGTGATTATACTGCTTAAATTTATTATACTTTTGGTCTTTTGTATCATTTGTAGAGTTCTTTTATAATATTTGAAGCATGTTATCTTCTATTATATTACTATTGCTAATATCTTTTAGGACCTATTTTTCTCTATTTAAAATCTTTTCAACACTCGCTATTAGCCTCTTCGATAGCTGACCTTTATTTATAATAACAATAGGATTAATAATATTAGTAGAGTTTTCTGGTTCTAATCTGCTCTTTACATTATAAATAAAGGTCTTGAAAATATTTAACAATTCTTATTGCTTATTGCTCTTAAGAGCACAGTCAATAGCTTTTTTTGATAATCTAGCTAATTCTGTATACATAGCTTTAGGCGAGTTTATAGCTGATTGAAATGGTTGAGTATCACATGAATCAATCCAAATAGAAAAGAAGTATTGAAAAGTGATAGAATTTTGAATAGTATGTTATCTTCCAATTGTATCTTATCACATATTGAAATAAAAGAATATTGTTGTAAAAGATTGTTTGATTTAACATCAGGATTTATATACTATTGATTAGTGATCATGCATATGTGAAAGGTGATAAGTCTAAAGTAGGTATTGATATGAAAAAAGTGCTGACAAACTAATCCCTTATTAATTAAAAGAGGCAAATATATAAATGTATACCTTTATTAAGTAGAATAATATAATATCTGATTCTATATATGTAAGTTGCTCGTATATTTCACACTTCAAGAATTGCTTCTACTAGTATAATTGAACTAATAATTGCAAAAGGATTTGCCTTGTATTTACTCTTATTCTCTAATTTTTATACTATTTCTTCATTATCAGTTTCTATCTATAATTGTAAGAAATGTAAAATTGATCAAAAATAATAAGATTAGTAGATATAAATTTTGCGATTTATTCTTCACAAACTTACATCCTATCTCAAATAAATTTTGAAATGATTTTTACCTCTATAAATGACGCCAATCTGTGATCTGACTAATGTCATAACATACAGATTGATTTATTTAGCCTCTTTGTTTCATGAGCATTATTAGAGTTAAAAATTTTCTGATAATAACGTCTATTTGACTAAAGAATCTTGTATTTAATATCAGCATACTAATTGTAGATAAGGTGTTTCGTTCAACTTCAAATTGCTCAAGATGTTCATCATTCTTAACGTGATCATTAATACTAACTAACAGATTACATAATGATATAAATTGATCTACTTTGCTATACACATGGCTATTTATTGATTCGAATCACTGTATGCTTTGAGTGAATCTAAGGAATTATCTATGAATTCTTAGTATTATAAGAGTGTTAATCAAATACTTAACTATTACTAGATATTGTTCAATTAATTATTTCTATTGAAGTTCAAATAGTTCTTCATAAAGAAAGTTCCTTAAACTGACTGCTTAGTTTTCCTTTAAGTTTTTTCCAAAGATTCAAATCTATGTGAAATATGCATAACAGGTGTTAAGTATTGGGATAAATATCTTTTATCAAAAGAACCAAAGAAGGATTAGAATCAGAAAAAATGACTTTTGGAGAAATATTCATTTCGGTGAATATACTGTTAAATATCCATTGATAAGTATCTAATGTTTATTCTCAATTATCACGTACACTATGATTCTAGATCTGAAGTTATTATTAATTATGGTTATAATACAAAGAATTATCTGAAATCAGTTTGTATTGTAGATGCTATTGACTATAATGATATCATTATGATTGCTGTATAATTCTTTTTGCATAGAAGACATCTATAAAAAAGAAATCAACCTTCTTGAGATTAGATCTAATCTTGTCTTTATAACCTAAAGTGATTCTAAATTCTTCCATCCATTAATAGTTAAAACATTTGAGAGGTATCTCCATCTTTCAGATTGTATTTTTATTGAAACTAATAAACTACATTATACAAATCTTTTTTGTAAATAGGTTGATCTGGATAGTCATATCTTAATAATAGATATATAGATACTAAATCCATTTATTTTTGAACAACGTACTTCTCTATATCAGCTAACATTTCCATTGTTAACTTCTGAAACTATGAGGTTATTTCTTGAATCATCAGAATAAGTGAATAATTATGTTCGTTATTAAATGAGTTTATTTTTACAATTCCTGTTTTTAGATGAATGATGTTAAGTTTATAAGGACATAGTGTTCATTAGGAATGAGCATTGTGTTGCTTTATTAGATCTGATGTAATTTGTGAATTATGAGTTTCAGATTTTGCGCATTCATAAGTAACCCTTTACATTACATCTTGAATAATTTTGTTTATTCTGATCTTATAACTAAAACTCTCTTTTAATGCAAATCTATATATCTAACTTTTGAAGTTTTTTCAGTCAGTAAAGGTAAGTTCAAATATTAATTCTAAAGAATTGAATAGCTTATCTGCATTAGATTTGTATATTTCATCATAAATAAACGTTTCATTATTTATAGGTAAATTTGTATCTATTTCTTTATAATTTGGGTTCGTCTCATTAAGCTGTTAGACAGATTTACTAATTAGATGATTGATAATAAAGAAGATAGAAAAACAAATACAACAGAAGATAGAGGAAACATATATAATAAAGACAGAGGAAACATATACAAAAGAAAATTATGTGCAGTGTGTAATTTATTATTGTTTATCACAATTAACATTGTCTTATTCTGTTTTATTCATCTTGATTAAACAAAAAGATCTAGATAAGAAAGCAAGAAAGAAGGAACAATGTAATTTTAACAATAGGATCTTATGATTATGATGTAATAATTCTATCGATATGATGCAAATAAATCATAACGTAAATAAATATGTGTTATCATTATTAACGCAGCTATATTTATCATGACTCACATTCTAACTTGATCCTTCCTATTATAAAATATATTATATGTGGATCATATAATAGTATTCACATACTACATATATATTTTTAATTATAAATATAAAATAAATACTTATTATAAAATTTTTTTTTTAAAAAAAATAAATAATAATATATTTATTTTTAGTATTAATCAATATAATTAATTAAAGTTTTTTTATTTGTAAAT